ATTCTTAAACTTACTTAGATATAATTGTGTAACTCAGTCGTCTAGACATTTGACCCATGTATGTGTTGTTTCACACCATATAATGCTGTTGTATGCTTTTCTTGCCACACCAACTACTTTGTCATTACTTCAAATTTTTTTCGTATGATGTAGTATTTGGAACCAAAGCCTGGCGTTTATAAAGATCTTGAAACTGATCAAGTTTTGGAGGAGCATACAGGTAAGTTGTGATTAGGGTGTTTATTCCTGTTACAACATACAGGCTTTCTTACTTTTGAATCGACACAATAATTCTTATGACCAGTGGTTAGCTGATTTTCTTACCTGGCTGCATTTCAGTTAAAGTAGTGGAGATGCATTCATTTATTTATATTGTCTTTCATTCCTTGATGATTATAATAGCCGGTAGTAAACTTAAAGTTTTTGCCCTTATATTTTGCTCTCCCTTAGTATTGTTATGATTATGAGATGGTGGAGGAGATTTGTAGCTCAGGTGGATGATTTTGATGGAGTTTTGTTCTCTGAGCTGGATGATTTGGTCGTGGAGCTTTCATCTTTGTTCTGAAGTTTGTGCTAATGTCGTTCAGAAGAACGATGAAAGCTCCATGACCGAACCATCCAGCTCAGAGAACAAAACTCCATCAAAATTATGATTATCTCCACTAATTTTCTCTTCACATCTTGTTGTGTCTGTGTGAAGGAGTGGCGTGCAAGAAGTTAAAATAAAAAATTTCTTTGTTTCTGGACCCTGTGCTGCCTATATTATTTGCCATAGCCGCCCTATGTTTTACACATACACACACGTGCGCATTTCGGTACCATATACTATACTAAATTGACCCATTTCTTACTCAATGAAATGCACTTGTCTTTTAGGTCGCTTCCTATTGCCATCAATTGACCTTCTGATTGGCTCTCCATTTCACACAATACTTTAATGTTATTATACAGTTAGAAAAGCCGTATTCTGTTCAATTATTAGCAATAAGATTGTTAGGTTGTCATAGGATAAACGATAAAACTAACTTCTCTTAGATTTTCTCCTTAAAACAACCATAAGCATTACTCAATAATATACTCGTTTCGGGGAAAACAAATTGTTCTACGTAGGATTTTTTTCATATTTAACAAATATGATATCATGTTTCTCATGACTTTCCTCTATAACATCGAGATTATTAACTCTACTTGGTCTTTGCTCCTTCTCCTTCTAAGGTATACATCATTTTACTTTGGGTCAACGAATTCCTATTAAACGATTTAATGGACCTTATTATGTTAGTAAAATGGATTGTCACAATCAAATAATTTATGTAGTGAGTAGAATTCCTCTTGTCTTTGTTATTCATATTTTTCAATATCAAGCAAATTGAGCTGTTATTTTTAATCGATCTAAAAACCACGACTATTGATTGAAGCTTTTTTGTGTTTAAGAAAGTATTTTCATAATGGTGTTAATACATTTAGTAATGACAATTAACCGATTTCTGAGTAGTGAGTAATATCATGTTCGCCCAATCCATTAGTGCCTATCGTATTCTGTGGATCAAGTTGTAATGTGGTCAGTAGTCTAGGTAATTCGACATTGCGTGTAGCATGTTGAGATGTAAGTAGTAGATTGAAGACATTGAGTTCGTATTAGTTAGTACTCGTTAACAAGGCGTACCTGCAACTCGTTGGGATTTGAAACCTACGTAACCCTGCTCTACAGTCTGAGACGTTAACACGAACATTCAGGAGGCTTTTGGTGTTTGTTTCATTAAGCCAGGCTGTTACATAATGTGTCGCTAAAGGTAATAGCTTTGACTTTTTGAAAAGCCTGGAGATTCTGTATTATATTTACAAGTACCTGTATAACATAGTCTTATGTGATAAAGTAAAGTCTTGCAGATATGGTCGTGAATGTAAGAATGCTTTGCCGAACATCAAACGAGATAATGTGATGCCTCGTTATACAATAGAGTATGGTGATCGATTCATTGATTTGACATACAAACTGTAGGATTAAATATCGATAAGGTTTTAACACAGCATCTATTAGCCTATTTTAACCAGTCAGTCATGAAATCTGTCACATTTTTGTCGGTTCATGTTGCCAGACCATATTAGTACAGTGAGATGAAATCATCGAAGCAAATGCCCGAGTGGTAGAAGTAGTAACAATCTCAGTAGTAGTAGAAAGGAATAGACAAAAGCAATATGTTTGAGAAAAAGAATGGATTTGCTGAATAAAAGCTATCAGATAGTTTTCTGATGGTTAGTATCATGTAACACTTTATCTACTTGGTAATTAGGTTTCTTTATTCAAATGTATCATTTCCAGGTTTTACTATTTAGATTCTTTATATAAAGTTCACTCAGAAATTAATCAAGTTCGGTTTAGAAATATGAACGTTATGAACAGGGACTCACCAGAAAAATTTGTGGTGGGTCAAACAAAGTTAAATGAGATAAACGGTTAAGCTAGTTTGATCACACATGTAAAATACATCAAAAGTTGATATTAAAACAAATTGGTAAAACGAGTAGTTTCGTGCGTATTCTAAAATGATATGTGTTGAAAGAGTTCAAATCTTCACAAATTTTAAGTCTAGATAAATAATTCTAAGTAGAATAACTTCACTTTTACTTTTAAAAGATATACACTAGATCAAGAGATCAATCTGTAAGAATATCAATAAAGTTATGAACTGGTGGGTTGTAAGGGGCCAGTTGAAGGTAAAAAGTGAGTTATTAAGCGCGGTGGATCGAGTGTATTCACACCCATAACGCAACATCTGTTGTTGGTGCACCATCCCGAAATATTGAATTCGAGTTCAGCTCTCAATGTATTTCTTTTCATTACGACTTGTGTTCGGAGACAGTTACCAAATCTCATAAAATTCCGTAAAGTCGTCTTGATCGATATATATCTCATTAACTTGGATGTAATTTTATTGTTCTGGGGTCTTGATCAACAAAACATCTGTACAGAGACTGCGCTTCTCACTTTAGTTAGCTATACAGTAAAGAAGAGGATAGAAGTAGTCTCATTCATTGTATTGAAGTTGCGGGGTTTTTTTAATTTTAGCCTAGTGCACGAACGTTTCGACGTTATAATTCAAACGAAATGTTTCATAATCAGTAACCTACAACCTGAAATAAATTCTAAGCTTAGAAATATTACCAAATATATTTACAAATTAAGCTTCTCATACCGTCTGTACACTACTGACCATAAAATGATAATATTACTGAGATTGTAACCCTCGGGATCACTAATTATTTGCTTGCATTACATATATTTTAGGTACGTGACCCAGCCCACCCAAGTTTGTTTATGCGCAAGTGTTGGTGTGGTCCTGCAGTTTGGATAAACTCTGAGCCATTTTCATCCATAAACTCGAGGAATATTCAATTTCAATGGCAGAACAAATGGCGTCCAGTTAACTGTATTTTAAAACCTTTCAGTGATATATCTTTGGCGTCAGCTTACCTTAGGAAAGACATGAAACGATGTTTTTCTAACTCAGACAATGGAACACTCGCCAATGTAATCGATGCATCCATTGAAGATAACAGAGAGGTTGGACCATGTTTATCAATTGAATTAGAAGCGCCAATGCGATGTATTGCACCAGGACAATGGTGTGCATTCTATGATAATGACATATGTTTAGGTGGAGCAATGATATGTGGTTCAATAAGTCTTTGGGAAGAAGGGCAAAACACTTCATATCATGAGTGGAAACATGTCGACTACGAATTGACATATGGTTAAATCTAAGAACAACATCTATCCCTTTTAAATTTGTAAATAGTTTAGGAGACTGTGAGTCGGTCGGTTAAAGTTTTTTAAAGTTGCATCAATAAATGATGGTATGACTAATTATTCTATTTGTTATTTGGCGAAATTCTAAAATGAATTGGAAATAAACCAACCTACTGATAGACAATATATGTGAAACACATAACGCAACATTATCAATTGCAGTAAGACATGACTCTAAAATCAAGACACAAGCTTTTGAAAAGTTTTTAGGGTAATAGAAAAAAACTAATAAGGATCTTCGTTACTGGAACGGTTGGAATTCGTCAAAAATGACATTCAATCATATGAGGCAAAAGCATTACTAGTGAATCGCGACAATAAGGTTTACTAAATGTTGACATAAGTTACGCTTTGAAACGTGATTTTGTCCCAAGCTGATGGTTGATTTTTCTGGGAATGAATTCTTAGAAAATCAACATTAGTGGTGTTAGACCAGTCACACTAAGAAAATCCAGATTTGTAGATAGGATGGCTGAAGTTAACAGATATTTAACTCAAGTAAACAACTTCATTTAAAACATTCATATAATCTCAAGCTTAGTTTGTTGCTTTTTAGCGAACTGGTGGCACATAGGAATACAAACAAATATTTTGACGATGTACTCCAAAGTAAAACAGAAATTGTCATTATGGAGTTGTGGAATTGACCGAATTTCACTGAAATCACACTGATTTAAGTTGAACATGTAAGCACCAGACAGCCGTTCCGTCGTAGTGTGGGATTGAGCAGTGCGGGTTCGCGACTTTTCGGCCGAGGATCGAACCCAATATCTTCGGAAATCTCCTCATTGGTCTAGAGGTTAAGCATTCGATTTTCAGTGGTGGTGGGGTTGTGGATGCGCGCTTGTGATGAGTTCCATACCAGAACGAAACAGTCATCCAGTGCTTTCAAACTTTTAATGGCTGTTTAACTCAAATCAGTTCTTGATTTCAATGAAAAAGTGTAAATTCCTAGTTTCATACTCAGCTATCCCAATCTGTTGTCTTTTCAAAAACCGTCCTGCTACAAATAAAAATTCTCTAGAAACAAATTACATGAACTAAAATCATTTTATTCAATGTTGTCACTAAAAACTAAAACACGGTACAAAATAAAGTGATCAATGTAGTTTAGCTTAACAGTAAACTTGGATAATACAATGTGAAGGATTTTTTTCAAGAATACGTTGGCCTTGATTTTTTTCTTCATTTAACTTGTTCCAATATTTACAACTTTTTCTTTTAAACTTTCAAAGACGGCAATCATTATTGCAGAAGCGCAGGTTGTTTTAATTAGTCTAGGTGTGAAACCTGTAGAAAAAATCAATAAAAGAGTGTATGAAATATGTGATGCAACTAAGTAGTTTATGTATATGATCAATGGTATTATTAGAAAAAAAGTATTACAAAACTGAAATTTCATAATTAGTGCAACAGATGTATTTGTATGTACGGACGTATGAAATCATGTAGTTGAAGACTTGTATCAAATTAATAAATAATTTCCATTTGACAATACTATGATGTAAGACGGGATTGTCACTAGGTATGATAACCGTCTGACTGATGTACCTAATCATTTTCACAGTCAGATTTACGTTTGACGTAACGTTGTGTTAGCAGGATATCGATCGTATGTAAGCATGTTTCGTGTTGGAGCACGCTGATTGTTGAGTATTTATCAACAAGCATTAAACTTCAATATTACTAAAATTTTTAGTGTCAAATTCTTAGTCTACCATAACGAAAAGTTGTCTGTTAAACTATATTTACATGAGCATAATATCTTCAAAACGCAATTCACTGGCATTGATGAAAAAAACTGATATTTTTGTTTTGTACTGAAAAAAAAGCGATCATGTCAACTAACACTTACCAGAAAACAAGGCTGAAAGACCATTTTTAATATACAAATTATGCAGTAATGTCCACGTTGATGGGTGATGATCTATGTTTAAAGGATTATAGAAAAACGTAGCTTAGTTGATTGGCAAAATAAAGTTAGAATTTATCTAAATGTGTTAAGTAATGTGGCTTTCATCATCCGAAGGAAAGACAATCAAAATTTCAATTTATGCGTTAATCAGGAACAATCCAGATCCTTATATTTGCTTAACGCTATCAAAAAATCTAAATGGAGAATCGACATGACCAACCCAACTATTACCAATATTGAAGCTGAAAGTCCGATAGTTAAACTGAATGGGAGAAAGCAGTTGCATCCGATGTAATAACTCCGGAGATTTTTGTGGATGATGGTCATGTTTCGGCAGTTAGACTGACTGAAATGTTAGCTAGATTTTGGAAACTAAATGTAATACATTCTGACTGGTCTCAATTGGTGATCATCCACCCGACCGTAGCTGCTACCTTGCCGTGGTGGTCAGGCTTGCCTATCGTGATGACCCAACCGAGCTATATTGGCTGAAACATATGTTCCTGAAGGTTCTACCATGCCAGGCAGGTCGATTGGAGAACGGTAAGACTAAAAGCAGCAACTCAAGGTCTGAGGGCGAAGTCCTACTGCTGACTGTACAGAAGTGTGACAGCAGTAAGGTGTTTCCCTCAGATAACCAGCATCTACAGCGGTGCTGCCTTCTCACAAGGAAGGAAGGGGTTAGAAAAGGTTGACCCTAAAAGTGTCACATCTTACCTTACCCCACGGATTTCCGTCTCCGGCGGTAAGGCCCTTTAATGAACGGACCTAACACATGAAAGTCCTCCCACAAAAAGGCCGTGCGCAACCGGCCTCAAGCAGTTGTCCCTTGGGCTCTGCGGTCACGCTCCCAGGTCGTTAAGACCAACACTAATCCGAATTCCTTTTCAGGTCCCCCAAGAAATACCCTTCCACGGTGTGGGCAGCCGGGAAGTGACATCAGTCCTCATACCCGTAACAGCACACGAGACCAAGTTGGTCACTTTCAAATCCGTCCTACACCTCCAAATAAATCTCTTATCTCCACGACTAATCCTTCTCACGTCCGTTTATCACCTCGCCCCGCTAGTGTAAACGATTCGAGCAGGCGGAACGTTATTCCTGGTCTCCTGAAACCACGCTCTAAACTACACGTAGGAGCTTTCAACGTCATTTATTCACTCTCTTTCATTCCCACTGTCTATCCTTATTTTTCGACGTATACAGCAGCTCGCCTATGGTGGACATTCGGCTCTATCTAAACGTTCTCGAGTCACTGCCTGGTTGAAAATTGTATGTTACCATCGAATATGAGTACTGAAGCAGTCTTTCTGAAACCACGCGCACCATTCAAACTGGCTCCCTTCAACGTCCGCACACTTATGCAGGTCGGACAACAGATAGGGCTGGCTATGTCTTTGGAAAGTCTTAATATTGACGTTTGTTGTCTATCCGAGACCCGTATTCAAGACTCTGGTGAAGTACTACAAATTCGCTCTCCATCTGTCTCTTCGAAAAGCTTGTTTTACGTGCGTTCATCCGGGGACCCTGTGGCATCTTCGTCTGGTCTTGCTGGCGTTGGTGTCGCACTAAGCGCTAGAGCTGAGGCAGCACTAATCGACTGGATCCCCATTAACAGTCGGTTATGTGCTGTTAGATTAGAAAGTTCCATCAAAGTGAGAAGAAATCGGCGTGAGAAACGATGTTTTTTCGTCGTCTACGCCTATGCCCCGACAGATTGCAGCCCAGATGCAATCAAGGACAAATTCTATGACCAGTTAACTGTTCTCCAGAAAGTGCGTTTGACAGATATTGTAGTACTAGCCGGAGACTTGAATACTCAGGTCGGGCGTCTAGGTGGCCGATTAGGACTTGTTGGTCGCAAGACAGATAACGGGGAACGTCTACTGCAACTATGCACAGACCACAACCTGTTTCTGGCTAGCACTAACTTTCGGCACAGTCATCGCCGATGTGCCACCTGGCGTCCCCCTTCTGCATCTCAAGCCTGGACTCAGATTGATCACATCGCGGGTGACCGTGAGTTTGACCACAGACGAAGGATGTTACGTAATGAAATCGGGCAAAGCTTGCGTAAGGACCGAGAAGCCTGGTGGTCGGAGCGTGCCAGTGAGTTGGAAGCAGCAGCTGCATCTGGTAATTACCAGGAGCTCTTCCAACTCATCCGAGCCACTAACAGCAAGAAGTTTGGTGTGAGCGAAACAATCTGCGAGGATGACGGAACGCCAATCACTAACATCCATCGACGTCTTGGACGATGGGCAGAATTCTTTGAAGAGCAGTTCAACTGGCCTGCTGCTCCGGCAACATCAGTCAGACTGTCCTGCCCTCCATGGCCGGTGACGACTGATCCACCAAATGAGGCGGAAGTCCGCAAGGAACTCCAACTCTTGAAACGTTACAAATCACCGGGCCCAGACGACTTACCTCCGGCTCTTTTTAAAGATGGTGGTGACTTTCTGACTAAGGGACTGACGACGTTGTTTACAAAGGTCTGGGAACTAGAGAGTGTACCAACGTCATGGAATGAGTCGATAGTTGTCCCTATCTTTAAAAAGGGTTCACGTTGTTCCCGTAACAACTATCGGGGGATAAGTCTACTTCCGATTGCGTCCAAGCTATTGGCTTCCGTCATACTTCGTAGGTTGTTCAGAACCCGAGAAAGATTGACTTGCGAGGAGCAGGCTGGGTTTCGTTCTGGTCGAGGATGTATTGATCATATCTTCACCCTCCGCCAAATGTTAGAACACCACCATACTTATCAAAGGCCAACAATCGTAGTGCTTCTTGACATCAGGGCTGCCTTCGATTCGTTGGACAGGACTTTTCTCTAGGATTGCTAATTGAAGAAGGGTGTGCCTGAGAAGTTTATTAACATCCTAAAAGCCCTATACACAAACACCTCAGGCAGAGTGAGGGCATACAACCACCTTTCTCCATTATTCCATTCGAGCAGAGGGGTTAGGTAGGGTTGCCCAATCTCACCATTCCTCTTCAACTTTGCCATCGATGACATTCTGGAAACAGCTCTGACGGATGTAAGTAATGGTGGTGTGGATCTGTTGCCTGGAGAAAGACTTCTCGACCTTGAGTATGCGAATGATATTGTCTTACTGTGCGAGAATGCCCAAGCTATGCAATCCGCACTTAATCAGTTGGCAATCAATGTCCGTAGGTATGGTATGTGCTTTGCACCTTCCAAGTGCAAAGTACTTTTACAAGACTGGCAGGATTCTAATCCTGTACTCACTCTGGATGGTGAGCAGATAGAAGTAGTCGAGAAGTTCGTGTATCTAGGTAGCTGCATAAGTGCTGGTGGTGGCGTGAGTGATGAGATCAATGCACGTATAGTGAAAGCCAGAGCGACTTATGCCAATCTGAGCCATCTTTGGCGCCTTCGTGATGTTAGTCTGGCTGTAAAAGGTCGGATCTACAACGCGTCGGTGAGAGCAGTTTTGCTCTATGCTTGTGAAACCTGGCCTCTCCGAGTTGAGGATGTTAGACGTCTCTCTGTGTTCGATCATCGCTGTCTCCGAACGATTGCTAACATCCAGTGGCAACACCATGTTAGTAATGCAGAGGTTCGGCATCGTGTGTTCGGGCACAGAGACGACAATCCAATTGGTGTCACCATCTTGAAACACCGACTTCGGTGGCTTGGACATGTTCTACGAATGTCGTCCCGGAGAATTCCACGTCGTGCACTATTTGCCGACCCTGGGACTGGTTGGAAAAAGCGGAGAGGTGGTCAGTGTATGACATGGTGTCGTGGTATGAAAGAGAGCTGTAGAGGGCTTGCTTCTGTTGGTCCTTCACTTTTTTTTCCTTCTCTTTAAATTCTCATTGTTTTGTGTGGCGAACTGTCATCAGAACTGATTACCTCAAGTGGTGTTCGTCAGGGCTGTCCACTCTCTCCATTCTTGTTTAACTTTGTCGTTGACGTCCTTTTAGAGATGACACTTTCCTCATCTAAATTTCCAGGAGTTGAACTTCTACCGGGAGATCCACTTGTTGACTTAGAATATGCCGATGACATAGTTCTATTTAGTGAAGACGCTGACAGAATGCAGAGTCTGCTGACCACTCTAAGCAACAATGCAGGCATGTTCGGGATGCGATTTTCTCCCTCGAAATGCAAAATGTTGCTTCAGGATTGGGTCGCATCGACACCCGAACTAGTGATAGAGAGTGAAGTAGTTGCCCCCAAATGCCCTGGTACGGCCGAGAGTGGGGAGAGTCCGCTCTCCCTCTCGAAATGCTCTCACATGGCCATGCGTATATAGCCTCTGCCAGGGAAGTCTTACTCACTGCCTTCTCGTGGCGGGGGTGTTGTTTACAAAAATGAGAGGACGAAAAGCGAATGTCCGGCGCTTTAACCGGACCCCAAACTAATGGTGCACATGGGCTCCAGCATCCTGCGGGAACAAATGGCGTATGAACCAATCGTTGGTCACCGGCTAACATGAGACTGCATCTCCTCACGATGCTCCACTGCCTTGTGGGTCAGACGTTCAGGTCGAAGGCTCGGGGTGTGGCCCCCCTAAGAAAACGACCTGCTTCGGTCTGAGCATCCGGGCAGTATCACAGCCCCCACGCATATCAAATGAGATCTGTGTGGCGCATATATACTTGGTGTCTCCCTGTACCTATACTTATGTGTTAAAATGAATGAATGAAGTAGTTGAGCGTGTCGACCGCTTCACTTATCTTGGAAGTCTCATCAGTCCTTGTGGTCTGGTGTGTGACGAAATCTCAGCACGGATACAGAAAGGTTTCTGACAAAGTCTTTCAATAAAGGGTTCACTAAGGCACGTAAACTATATGAAGCTTCTTTCCTGAACAATATTTTCTTCCAAATTGTCAACCTCAAGTGGTTTTCGTCGGTGCTACGTACTATCCCCATTTTATTTAACTCCAAAACAGACATTCTATTTAGAGATAACGCTCCCGATCTAACAGGAGATCTAGTTCTTGACGTAGACTATGGAGATTTCATAATTCTGTTTAGTGAGGGGTGCCATTGTTGATCATGACTGACATGCTGAAAGATCTTCTGAACACCTTAAGTAACAATGTAAACAGGGTTAGAATGCGTTTACCCATTAAAAATAAAGTTACATTAGGACTAGTTTACATCAACACCCAGACACTATAGGGGATGAAATATTTCGGCTGGTCAAACACTATACTTATACTGAGAGTCTCAGCCTTGATGGTTCGGTGTTTGACTCATTTTTGCATCACTTAAGGGGTGGAGAAGGCAACCGTCTACCAACCAAAGGGTGTGTAATGTGCAGCAATCAGTTTTATATTACTTAATAGCAACGAAAATAGAAATGCGTCGTTCGCAGGTTTCTGATCATGTATTTATCTTCAAAGCGTTGCTCATGTACTGTAGAACAACCGAGTAAGAAATTGTGAAATTAAAGCACTAGTATTACGGATATAACTTCGTCTGTAGCTCTTCTAGGGCTACTGCCTGTCCCAAGACCACATAAAGAAGGGTTGGGGTAAGATTGGTAACCACATCACGCAGAAAACAACCTTGCTAACAAACGCTAACCAAAATAAAATTTAAACTCTGTCCTGGGAGTTGAAGGGAGAATTATGATGCCTCATGTCGAAAGCCGAGATTCTTAGGAAGTTACGAGGCTGATTCCGCTTTTAACAACCAGAGCAACAAATAATATAAGTACATGGAATCAGCGAAACCCGTTGGACCCAACTTACTTACGCTTGCTACCCCCAGTGGAGCATAGGCCGCTGACCAGCATTCTTTAACACATTCTGTCCTGGGCCTTCGTTTCTAGTTCTGTCCAAATGTTGTTCGTCCATTTCTCGTCGTAATATGTTCTTTGGTCTTCGTCTTCTCGTTTGTCTTTGAGGATTTCAAGTGATGGCTTGCTTTGTGACGCAGCTGAGTTCTTTCCTCAATGTGTGTCCTATACACTTGACTGGATTACGAAGACCTCGATATATGAGGGAAAGCACGGAATACAATGCACAGCTTGTATGTAACTAGACGATTTGGACTTTGCAGAAAATCTGGCCCTTCTCTCCCATACTCACCAACAAATGTAGACGAAAACAACTACTGTAGCAGAAGCCTCTTCAGCAGTAGGCCCCAACATACACAAGGGAAGAACCAAGATCCTTAAATACAACACAGAGAACACTAACCCAATCATAGTCGATGGAGAAACTCTGGAAAATGTGGAGTCTTTCACGTGCCTGGACAGCATTATCGATAGACAAGGAGGATACGATGAAGACGTAAATGTGAGGATTTGTAAAACAAGGACCGCGTTTCTACAACTGAATAACATATGGAACTCAAAACAACTCAACCAACATCAAAGTCAGTCTTCAATACGAACGTCAAGACAGTTTTACTGTATGGAGCTGAAACTTCCAGAACTACCACAATAATCATCGAAACAGTACAAGTATTTATACGCAAAAGACACTCAACGTCCGGTGAACGAATACCATCGCTAACAGCCTACTGTAGGAGAGAACAATCTAGCTTCCATCCGAACAGGAAATTAGGAAAAGGTGGATGCTGGTAGATGTCCTATGTTGCTCCATGAGGGGTACCAAGTATAAGTATTACAGGAATATTGCAAATTGGTTGGTGAGATAGTAAATGTTCATCGATTGAGGTTATCTGGACCAAACACTGTCTATCTAGAAGTGCAATATTGGTTGGTGTAAGAGCAAGTTCGAAAAATATCAGGAGTAGCCAAATAAAAATACGAGATTTATCCAAGAAGTTATTGGCTGTAGCACTGGGCCACGTTGGTTCGAGTTCATGCAACAACAGTGATTAGTGATTGTAGATGTTGTATAAAATGGCTTCGATAGAAGCAGTCATAATACTGCAAATGGGTTGTATCCCTATCTTCCCCTAAAGTTTGTGTTTCAGTATCCTTTCACATAAACCATTTTACTCTGTTTTCTATAGTCGTATTTCCAATGTTTAGTTCTTTTCACTATTATTGATGCCACAGTGATTTCGATTCGGTCGACTCACATTATTGTAGATTAGGCATTTTCACTATTTTCTTCTCAATAAACTAGTAATGACATGTTACTCTTTATACTGCATTGACAAAAGGTTTGCTAAGAATACACAATTTAATACTCGTAACGTTTTGCTGACTTGTCAGTTCTATGAATTCTATTGGAGTGTTGTTGATATAAATTACAAATAAGTTCGAACGACTGTTGTGCACAAAACTAATATACATGCCCATGGTTTAATGAACTTACTAAATGCAAACGAATACTTTCCGAAATCAACTTGTCTGTGAGTCTTAATCACATCGAATGGATGTGTTAATACGCCAGAAATCTGAAATTTAATATCAGGAGGAAATAATTAGTGTTTGCATGTGAACGACTTAAAAGTTACAATGGTGATATGGTATATATTATACACGAGAAATCGAATTACTCATTTGTAGGGACATTACATCTGGGAGGTTCGATAAAAACAAGTCCTTTCACAGTACTGACTTTTATTTACATTGTCATAGATTTAAATCTATGGAAAAAAACGAATCGTTTCACTTAAGAAGCTTAATACACAATGGTGTAGGTGAGCTTTATAATTGACGTAACTTTCAGTTCGGTTTTCGAGGCTTTTTCCTGATGTCAAATCACAAATGCTTAACATTTTACTGATTTAACAATAAAAAAGGAAATTTTAATAAAAGATTACAGACTTTACAATATTAAATATTTGAAAGTATAATTAAGAACACTTGAAAAAATCATTGTTACTTGATCAAAATACCAAGATGTGATATGATTTGCAACATTAACGTTAAACTAAAAACATTTTTTTGTATTTTGAACTTATCAGAATCTTAATCTATTATTTCTATGTGCTGAACTATGTTAGGTGTTTTAGAGAAAAATCCATGAGAACTTTATGGGCTAATGTGGAAACCTGCGTTTGTGATAAATCACATTAATTTGGTTGGGAAAGCTGAGAAATACATAGACTTAACTTGGTGTTGCTTGCATATATATATATATATATATATATATATATATATATATATATTTCAATGAATTTGAAATCAGTAAAACCTATGAAATTCTCTGCAACACGACATGAATCTACATTCAACTATACTGTAAGTAACATCGAGAATGAAACAAAAGATATTAAATATGTTTTTCTTTAGCTCACAAATTTAATCTCCATATTATAAACCAATGTTTGCATGAAATAAAGAAACAGATAGTAAATAAATGACTTACAAAACCAGCAGCTGCTCCAAAACCAAATGCATGAGAGAAGTGAATTCTGTCAAATGTGGCAGGCAACTCACTATTCGGCAACAAATTCGTTCTTATCTGTTTATTTATAAACCCAGACTTCATATAGTCGTAAGTTAACCAAAATACCATAGAATAAGGCACATCACGTAACAGAGTTGGTCCAGCACCTAACCACAAACTTTTCAAACCATCCTTAGTAATAAACAATATGTCAAAATAGTTTATTTAAAATTACATTTACGAAATGGCTTTAAAAGACAGTACCGAAATCTGAATACGTAAAAATTTTGTTTAACGTGGAAAATCCATAAGTTATCTTAACTGACAATCTATCATGGAAATGAACCGCTCTAGTAGAGGTATCACTACGACAAGAAACTACAATTAGAAAAAGACTACCATGATCCCAGCAGTACACGAATGGAGATTACATTTTACTAAATTTTTTATAAGCAACGTTTATAGCTACTATGAAGAAAATACTAAACTGCATTCAGAAGTCGTATCATATCCTAACTACGAAGTCTAGTGGTTGAAGTTCTTGGAGTTCAACTAAAAGGCTTCAGATTTCAACCACACTCAACTTATTTAGGACTAGGGAGCCGACTAGTGTAACAAGCCTTCATATAATTATTGTATTTGAAAAGTTAGTATATGAACTTGTACCCATTAAATGAGTTATAATAATTAATTTCGAATTAGACCTATGAGTCCTAAAACTCTCAATAAATAACTGAACTAAATACACTAATTTGCATGTGAATAGCGAGTTGATTAACCTTGTTTCTGTGCAGCTGTTTACATGTCTTTAATAGTACATTCACAAAAGACTATTATTTATTATTTATTTGAACACATAAATATTGGTACAAAAGATTGCTATAAACTAAGAAATATATTACCAATTATCAAATTTATCTTAGAGTATAACGAAACACAGCAATACCTGTTTCACTGTTGTAACAACTAACGCTGTTATATCTCGGTAGAGTACTTTCCTAGCTTGGATTTTTGTACGTAATAATTCTATTGGTGATACAGCCATTACTGCGAAAATTCGAGACACACCTCCAACTAATGGAGGGAGAAAGTCTTTAGGGGAGATGAAGTTTTGGGAAGATCCACATGTCATTACTGGTGATTTGTTGACAGTCTTAGAAGTATATCCAACATGATATTTTAGCCAATCATTGACAGTGAAGTAGATAACAGTTTGAGGAAGTGTCATAACACTGTAATCATAAAAATTAGTCAACATAATTCTAACTTACAGTGTTGGAGAGAGTCCACTCCAAAGAGATAAAATACCTTCATTACGAATAATTTTGAGTACAGTATCCTTTAACAAAAATTTTCATGATAAAATAAAGAATTTTTTAATGACAAAGTTTGAATCAACCAATAAAAAACAACTCCACATTACTGACCACAATGAAAAAACCAAATTATGCAAACAAAGAAGTCATTGACTTTTTGGATCACATGTTAAGTGAATAACTCCTTATGGATTATCGTTATCCCATGAAATAGTTTTTAAATGAACATTAATGACTTCATCTCATTACTTCTATGCCTTTGCCAATCATCTTGCTATTTTTATCCGACTATGCTAATTTGATGATGACCGACTAACTAAATGGTTTCACCATGAAAATGTTTGGTTTAAGTTATCAGGCTTAGAAATTTGAAGCTATAACTAGTTTGGTAGTTTATAATCATCCGGTAGTGAAAAAAGCCGGAGAGAGACTAATTGAAAAGCGAATGAAGACGGTGCCCAAAATACTGAGCGACTTAATAGTGTATGAAGCTGTCACCTACTTCAGTCAACTTGTAGAGTTTATTTTTATTTGAACACAAATATTGGTACAAAGGGGAATCGAAAACATATACGTCACACAAGTCACTTGGTTTGTGTGTGGGCTGTGATACTGCCCGGGTGTCCAGACCGAAGCACGTGGTTTCCTTGGGGGCCACACCTGGAGCCTTCAACCTAAAGGTCTGATCCACAAGGTAGTGGAGTAACGTTAGGAGATGCAGTCCCATGGTAGTTAGTGGCCAACAATTGTTTCATATGACATTTGTTCCCACATGATCCTAGAATTCATGTGCACCACTTGTTTGGAATCAGGGTTTTCCAACTCCCCTAGACGGATCCTCCATATCCACCAGCCTGGTTGGTGGTAGATGCAGACTACTTGGTTGGGGTCCGCGTGACTATCGTAACCAATGGTTGGAGACTCTTGGTGACATGGCTCAGAATCGATCACAATGGCGTCGGTGTATACACTCTGTCGGACATTCGCTTTTCGTCCTGTCAATTCGGTAAACAACACCTTTCGCCGCGAGAAGGCAGTGAGTAGAACTTTCGTGGGAGTAGCTGTATACTTGTAGCCATGTGAGAGCATTTGGAGAGGGAGATTAGACTTCCCATTCTCAGCCGTACCAGGGCATTTGGGGGCAACACTTGACATTGTCTCAGTCTTCTATGAATAAGACTTCATAAAAAGATCCCCCAAAACGTATAACCCTAAAAACTGCTATAGTTTGAGTTTTTATTCAACATTGAATATGAATTAACATCCTATCACAAATATGGTGGCAGAAACTAGACCAGAGGCTTAGAAAACTTTGGAGAAATCTGGCATTAACGACGAAATAATGGTTGTAAAAATCCCAGCGATTAAACTTGGAATCGATCTATTTCACACGGCAATCAGTTAAAGCTTTTTCAAAGGAATCCCATAATAACTCGGCACCCGACTACAGTGAAACTTAGTTTAACCTTAGAAGGTTCTTATAAGATGGAATCTGCTCTATTTTTTGACAAGAATAATAGCTGCTCTAATGAAGAAATGCGGTTTTGCATCCCGATTAATTCAACTAACTAATTATGGATCTTAACGTGCCTAGATAAAACTAATTCAGCGTGGTCTAACATTATAGTCCCCCGCCATATACATAGTTTAAGTAAAATAATTGAACTAGCACAAAACTGCTTAGTCGCACGGTTTTACCTATTCTTCTGCTTTATGAGGACATTTGCTTTGATTTTTACTCATGTGAGGCTAACAACTGTGAGAACTATGGGATGATTCTGCTAGATTATGTTGTAAGGACAGCCACACGTCCATCCAACAATAGGTTAAACAAGCACGATCAATAACTGTAAATCGTATACATTCATACCATTTAATTCCTGAAAGGTAACTAGTACTACAATTGACCACTTAAAATGACACCATATCTCTAAACAACCAATTAGTTACTCCGAATACATTTTACTGCGAAATCCAGTACACATACATTAGTGCTGTTTAATCCATGACAGTGGTTGCTGAGTCACTCGTCGGAAAACCGTCCCAACCTTCTCATTATTATAAATCAATAACAGGGATTTTCCTCTATCGATTACATTTGCAGTGGAATATATGTCGTGTGCATGAGATAAACAGTGAAGATATGACGTTAAACAGCTGCTTCTGCTCAATGTTTAATCAGGAAGATTAATGAAGCCTTAACATTTATCGAAAAATGTTTAAACATATCAGTGTAAATTTTGTAGCAATCCTAATCACTTTAGTAGGTAACCTATTTTTGTATACCTATTACATGTCATTCTCATTTGACCAGGTGTTTAGTAACCTGGTGCTCCTGTCTCCTTATCTAACTGTATTTTTTACGTTGTTTATTTCATGTAAACGTCTCATGTTTTGGTAGACTGGCTATTCTATTTCTAATTACTATGGTCTACCTGAATAAATGGATGTTTGAAATATACACTTCCAAAATACATTAATGCTCAACTTCTGATTTCTGTTAGCATTGGAGAAGTTAGGCAACAGAATACGTACGAAGTAAACAGAATATATATTTCATTCACCGCCAACGGATATAAACTTTGAAGTCAATATATTATCTAGAACCACTATTCAGGTCATAATCTCATCCTGAGCACAACAAAAGGTGTTTTTACACGACTCTTAATATGAAATAAGGACTTAAAATTAAAAAAGGCAAGGTAATGCATCGAAACTTACTGAGACGCTAGGGGAGCGGCAGGGGAATGAAACAAAAGACTGGTTATTATAATGAGGAATGCATGTGGAACAACAATGTGATTCGTTCGAGGTAAATAAGTTCCATCTCCCTGCACACTTCATAGCACGTTCTGACCAAGACATAGAACATGTGTTACGGCTCAACGGGCAGATGGAGAGGCGTTCAGCTAGTCCATTGCAATAAATAAGACACTTGGTTTCGGAGTATATCCTGGAAGACTATCAAAAATTAAGGACTGTGCTTATTGCTACCTGCATTCGGACTTTCACAACATCCAGAGGCGTCATAACAAACGCTGTCATTATGCCACCAACTGAAGAAGCGATGATCCGGTGAGTAAATGAGACCTTTAATAGCTTTTCATCACTTGACCCCATGTCACGATGTAAAACCCATTACCAGAAGCGCCGTTGTCTGTATGTTGGAGTGTGGGAACAATGTGTAACTGGAAAAAGAGACAAGCGAAGTGGCCAGGTGACTCCATAAACGCATATAACACACTTACGTCTAATGATGAAAACAAATGAGAAAACTCAGCAATGAGACAAGCGTAAGATCAAGTCAATTTGATATTCGAAACCAGGTATTGGCGCAGCGAGTTCCCGAACGCCTTACATCGTCACAGACCCTACTAAGCGCTTCCGTTCAAGGACAGAGACCAGAATTCTTAATCCAATGCACAACATCATTGTGATAATAGATTACAGGCCAAGCAATCCCTTTAAATTATCTTTTTAATAGTACAAAAAGAACTCTGGGCTAAAACAGGTCAATCGATTCATTATCTTAATTACCGAAGAATTCACTAGTGGTTCAAATGGTTGTGGACGGAGTAGAAGCTTTCGCTTAACAGGCTTCTCTGTCTAGTAGCAGTGGATCACCAATACCCTTAGGCAGGAACCTAGGTATATTAACGACAATAGAGGAAAGAAATAAATTGGTAGGTCATAATAAGATGTTATCCTTATTCCTTAAGAATAGATCAAGTCACCTCTTAAAGGACTCCTGGGAAGTTGCTTGGACTAGCTCAGCTGGCAGCAAATTCCAGCATTTGACAACTCTTAAGGAGTAGAAGTTGTGTCTACAGTCCATTCTGCTATGTTGTGTCTCCAATTTCTGAGTGTTACCACTTAGGGTAGTATTGGGACTGAGCTTAAGTGGGTGTTTAAGGGTATGTCCAGGAGTGCTAAGGATACTGCAAGGTCACCTCTAAGACGTCTATACTCTAATGGGTAAAGGCTGAGTGATTGGAGGCACCCTTCATAAAGTTTGGAATTTGTGTCCCCGAACTGATTTCGTGGTTCGCCGTTGGATACGCACTAAAGTGTCTTTAACCTTTTGGAGCGAGAGAGGAGATACTATGTTTCCGTACTCTAAATGGGGACGAATAAACTGTTGAAGATTGTGTGGAAATTTCTTCCGTAAAACTGGCAAAAAATGTGCTTCAATGTTACCAGTGCGAGGTTTGTTCGAAAGGCATTTTTGTCACAGTTAGTGTTGAAAATGCTACAGGTTTCCGGAGTTTGACAACGCTTTAACCAGTAACACCTTCTAGTATGAATCGTACCCACCAAGTGAAATCAAAAGACAGAAGCGAGGAGGTTCGAAGATATATTTGATAGGCTATCAATATATCGAGGATCGTCTGATCTAATCTGGCTAACGATTGCAGTAGCTGTTGAGCACGACGTTCCCACACGTGATCTGGTGTGGATGCATGACCGAGCGCCTTCAGCTAGATGAGTCCATTAAGACTAATGTGGTCAGTATCCAATGTCGAAAACTTACAGAGCTATTTATTTTGGGGATTTATCTACCACCACAGATCACTCCCCCCTAGTGGGGTAGTGATGACCCTAAGACGTGGCCAACCAGAAGTTTAAACCCAACGAGTCTGTCGTTTGAAAACAGTCTTCTAAAAGCTTGTCAGGATTAGCGGCGTCTGGTCATATTTCCTTATTATAAGGGACCATGAAGTACAATATATTAAAAAAAGAAAAAGTACAATGAAAATTTCGGTTCCTCGTAAACTTCATCGTTCTTTTCCAGCCGTCCTTGAAAAGAAAAACATGTAAGCGCATGTCGAAATACACTCGTACGCGCTTAAAAACACAAAGCGGGTGAAAAATTGGAAAACAAATTCATACTCACGTAATAGCGTAAAAAAGGATTTTAAAATATGGTTTTTTTGTTTTGCTTTTTTTGAAATAAAAATATAAATAAATAAGCAAAAATAAATTTTGGGTTTTTTTTAAATTATATATAGTACGAAGGAAAATCGAGATGATATAAAATGTAAACTTGTATCTTGCGTTCAGTAATCGTTCAAATGTTCTGAAAATCTTACTCTTCTTCCAGAACGCGTTGTTTCAAGTTTATTTTCAGATGCTGAAGAAGTATCATCGTGTGTGTAGGATTTCGGTTGAGGTATTAGAAGTGTAGGAGTCGTGTCGTGCTATTGTACCGAAGGAAAATCGACGTGGATAGGATTTCCTTCTAAATACGCTGCTTTGAGTCGATCGATGCTGATGCTATCGTTGGTTCCGTCCCTATCGACTATATAGTACATAAGTTGGCGTTGAAGAACTCTGAAGAGTCCTTCGTATGCTGATTCAAAAGGTCGTCGATGCGAGTCTCGACGAACGAAATTGTGTGTATTATATAGCGAGTCAGGTTGAACGAAAACAACAGTTGATTGTGGTCGAGTGGAAACAGGTTTAACTGAACGCATTGCGTTTCTAAGCCTGTTCGTGTAGGAGGTTAGATCCATATTCATTGAAGAGGATGAAGGATCCACGAATTCTCCTGGAAGTCGAAGGGTCGTACCATAAACGAGTTGAGACGCAGTGTATCCAATGTCAGCTTAAACTGCATTGCAAATACCTAGTATGACGAGTGGGAGAGCCTCAGTCCACCAAGAAATGTTTGCGGCCGATAGTGAAGCTTTTGGTTGTTGGTGAAAGCGTTCTACTAAACCGTTTGCTTGTGGGTAATAGGCCATCGCTCGGAAGCTAGCGATTCCTAATATTGCGGTCAAACAACGAAAAAGTTCGGATTCGAACTGGCGTCCACGATCTGTAAAGATTGTTTTTGGGCAGCCGAAGTTTGCTAACCATCGTTCGACGAAGGCGCGGGCCCCTGTTTCATCAGTAATGTCTTTGATGAGTACTGCTTCTAGCCATCGAGTTAAACGGTCTACGCAGGTTAAAAGATAAGAATATCCATTTGAGTCTGATAAATGTCCTACCAAATCCAAATGAACATGGTCGAAGCGAGCATCGGGAATTTTAAACGAGCTTGAGGGAATTTTTTATGTCTAATAACCTTAGATTTTTGGCAGCTTACACAGGAGAGTGCCCACTCCCTCACATCTTTATTCGTACCAGGCCAGCAAAACCGTTCTGCTATAAGCTTGATGGTTGCACGAACACCTGTATGAGAAAGTTTGTGCAACGTGTTGAAGATGTTGCACCGATAATGCTTCGGCACGATTGGGCGATCCCTACCTGTATATGTGTCACAAGGTAGGGTTTCCTTACCTGTTCCCGTCTGTTTGATGCGCAGTTTAAGTGTTGTTGACGATGACCCATGCTGAAGATCAGTGTCTTCTTTTTGAAGCTGGGCGAGTTTCAGAAGGTCGATTCCATGGAAACCGTTCAAGGAATTTATACGAGACAAAGCGTCTGCAACTACATTGTTTGCTCTAGAAATGTGTTGAATATCTGAAGTAAACTGCGAATTTTAGTCCAGTTATCGAAACTCACGTGGTGAGTACTTGTCTGAAGATGAGCTTAAGGAGTACCTAAGTGGTTTATGGTCGTTAAAAATGGTGAATTCACGGCCTTCGATATAGTGCTGAAAATGCCGGACAGCAAAATAAATAGCTAAAAGTTCCCTACCGAATGTGCTGTACCTCGATTCAGTGTCTAGCAACCGTCTAGAGAAAAATGTCAAAGGTTGCCAGGAGTGGTTAACCTGTAGAATTACGGTCTACTATGATATTAGCACTGCTCTAATAATAGACCTAATCCTAAAATTGTAGATTTATCATGATGTAACTGCCTAATCTATAAGATCTTACGAGGAAGTTACATCATCGTCTACACCGAGTCATTGCATTGTAACGATTACCAATACGTGATAGAGAACGAGCTTAGGCTAGAGATAGAATATATTTAATATGAATAGAAGACACAAGATAACATTCAGATGGGACCACGCCTGCAAGGCCGAGCCATGCCATCCGATGAACTCGGACACTTTCAATTTTTTGTTCCCGCCTTTCTTCATTGTTCGGTATTTCCCAGCGTTAAATGTTGAATGCCTATTTTTCGTATTGTCTTGTGTTAGGGCCCAATGCCACTACACTACTCTCCCACCAGAATCAACGTGACGTTGGTTCGATACCAATTTGAGTGGGGATTATCGCGCGCCGGAGGTTAGCAAGAATAACAAGAATCATCCGGGTATTGATGAACTGAAAGATGAATCAAAAAGAAGGAGGCAGAATCTGGTCGGGAAATACATGTAACAATTTTAAAACGTCTGGTTTAATGCCTAACACGCTTAGAATGAAAATTTAGGTAAAGATTATTTGAGCCAAACAAAGTGGGATTATAATAATAATAAAAGGATATTTTAATAAAGTGCCGTAAGATACGTAGTGATATCCGTAGGTTAATAACATTTCCTGTTTAGGAATATTAAAAACAGCCAATATTAGAGAAATGTTAAAAGTGGTATTATATTTGGTCTAAATTATAAAGTCAAATAACGTATGTGCCGGTTAGTTGTCCATGCGTTGATTTCCAATTGCATCTGTATTAGTAGGCTAACTGAAAGAACAAAAGTATAAGCGCGGAGAAGAATTCCAACTAGTGTTTCAGTTAGTTTGAAACGGTTTATTTAGATATGGGGAGATTTTCTCGACCTCATTTTTACTTGACCGTGATAGAATTTAGTAATACAGCTAATACATATGAATTGTTATCAAAAATTTTTAAATACGTGAAAAGTAATAATTATGTGGATTTTGGACAGATAGATAAGAGCAATTCGTTAAACATGAGTGTATCCGTTAGAGATATGCTCTAGACTCAATGTTCTGATTTGCCATAGACTATTTATTTATATTCATACCCATCGGCTGATGGTACATACAAGTTTAGTACAAGAAGGAATGCTGTTTCATTGAGACATAGTGATTATAAGTTATTGAAATCAGTCAGGCCTATGTGCCACGTTTTTAGGTGATGTGGTGCTGCAAGATGTGTTCGTCTAAATAAGTTTTTACAAGATGATTAACAGTGAGTTATGCTCATGGAATTACCAGGGAGAACATAAGTAGTAATCAAGGGGAGTACACTCCCAACTCATG